ATGCCACCATCTCTATGTTCTCTGTCAGTCTTGTCATGCCACCATCTCTATGTTCTCTGTCAATCTTGTCATGCCACCATCTCTATGTTCTCTGCCAGTCTTGTCATGCCATCTCTATGTTCTCTGTCAGTCTTGTCATGCCACCATCTCTATGTTCTCTGTCAGTCTTGTCATGCCATCTCTATGTTCTCTGTCAGTCTTGTCATGCCACCATCTTTATGTTCTCTGTCAGTCTTGTCATGCCACCATCTCTATGTTCTCTGTCAGTCTTGTCATGCCACCATCTCTATGTTCTCTGTCAGTCTTGTCATGCCACCATCTCTATGTTCTCTGTCAGTCTTGTCATGCCATCTCTATGTTCTCTGTCAGTCTTGTCATGCCAAAACTCTATGTTCTCTGTCAGTCTTGTCATGCCATCTCTATGTTCTCTGTCAGTCTTGTCATGCCACCATCTCTATGTTCTCTGTCAGTCTTGTCATGCCACCATCTCTATGTTCTCTGTCAGTCTTGTCATGCCATCTCTATGTTCTCTGTCAGTCTTGTCATGCCACCATCTCTATGTTCTCTGTCACTCTTGTCATGCCACCATCTCTATGTTCTCTGTCAGTCTTGTCATGCCACCATCTCTATGTTCTCTGTCAGTCTTGTCATGCCACCATCTCTATGTTCTCTGTCAGTCTTGTCATGCCACCATCTCTATGTTCTCTGTCAGTCTTGTCATGCCACCATCTCTATGTTCTCTGTAAGTCTTGTCATGCCACCATCTCTATGTTCTCTGTCAGTCTTGTCATGCCATCTCTATGTTCTCTGTCAGTCTTGTCATGCCACCATCTCTATGTTCTCTGTCAGTCTTGTCATGCCATCTCTATGTTCTCTGTCAGTCTTGTCATGCCATCTCTATGTTCTCTGTCACTCTTGTCATGCCACCATCTCTATGTTCTCTGTCAGTCTTGTCATGCCACCATCTCTATGTTCTCTGTCAGTCTTGTCATGCCACCATCTCTATGTTCTCTGTCAGTCTTGTCATGCCACCATCTCTATGTTCTCATTCAGTCTTGTCATGCCACCATCTCTATGTTCTCTGTCAGTCTTGTCATGCCATCTCTATGTTCTCTGTCACTCTTGTCATGCCACCATCTCTATGTTCTCTGTCACTCTTGTCATGCCATCTCTATGTTCTCTGTCAGTCTTGTCATGCCACCATCTCTATGTTCTCTGTCAGTCTTGTCATGCCACCATCTCTATGTTCTCTGTCAGTCTTGTCATGCCACCATCTCTATGTTCTCTGTCACTCTTGTCATGCCATCTCTATGTTCTCTGTCAGTCTTGTCATGCCACCATCTCTATGTTCTCTGTCAGTCTTGTCATGCCACCATCTCTATGTTCTCTGTCAGTCTTGTCATGCCACCATCTCTATGTTCTCTGTCAGTCTTGTCATGCCACCATCTCTATGTTCTCTGTCAGTCTTGTCATGCCATCTCTATGTTCTCTGTCAGTCTTGTCATGCCATCTCTATGTTCTCTGTCAGTCTTGTCATGCCATCTCTATGTTCTCTGTCAGTCTTGTCATGCCACCATCTCTATGTTCTCTGTCAGTCTTGTCATGCCATCTCTATGTTCTCTGTCAGTCTTGTCATGCCATCATCTCTATGTTCTCTGTCAGTCTTGTCATGCCACCATCTCTATGTTCTCTGTCAGTCTTGCATGGCATCTCTATGTTCTCTGTCAGTCTTGTCATGCCACCATCTCTATGTTCTCTGTCAGTCTTGTCATGCCATCTCTATGTTCTCTGTCAGTCTTGTCATGCCATCTCTATGTTCTCTGTCAGTCTTGTCATGCCACCATCTCTATGTTCTCTGTAAGCCTTGTCATGCCATCTCTATGTTCTCTGTCAGTCTTGTCATGCCACCATCTCTATGTTCTCTGTCAGTCTTGTCATGCCATCTCTATGTTCTCTGTAAGCCTTGTCATGCCATCTCTATGTTCTCTGTCAGTCTTGTCATGCCATCTCTATGTTCTCTGTCAGTCTTGTCATGCCACCTTCTCTATGTTCTCTGTCAGTCTTGTCATGCCACCATCTCTATGTTCTCTGTCAGTCTTGTCATGCCACCATCTCTATGTTCTCTGTCAGTCTTGTCATGCCACCATCTCTATGTTCTCTGTCAGTCTTGTCATGCCATCTCTATGTTCTCTGTCAGTCTTGTCATGCCACCATCTCTATGTTCTCTGTCAGTCTTGTCATGCCACCATCTCTATGTTCTCTGTCAGTCTTGTCATGCCACCATCTCTATGTTCTCTGTCAGTCTTGTCATGCCACCATCTCTATGTTCTCTGTCAGTCTTGTCATGCCATCTCTATGTTCTCTGTCAGTCTTGTCATGCCATCTCTATGTTCTCTGTAAGCCTTGTCATGCCACCATCTCTATGTTCTCTGTCAGTCTTGTCATGCCACCATCTCTATGTTCTCTGTCAGTCTTGTCATGCCACCATCTCTATGTTCTCTGTAAGCCTTGTCATGCCACCATCTCTATGTTCTCTGTCAGTCTTGTCATGCCACCATCTCTATGTTCTCTGTCAGTCTTGTCATGCCACCATCTCTATGTTCTCTGTCAGTCTTGTCATGCCACCATCTCTATGTTCTCTGTCAGTCTTGTCATGCCATCTCTATGTTCTCTGTCAGTCTTGTCATGCCACCTTCTCTATGTTCTCTGTCAGTCTTGTCATGCCACCATCTCTATGTTCTCTGTCAGTCTTGTCATGCCACCATCTCTATGTTCTCTGTCAGTCTTGTCATGCCACCATCTCTATGTTCTCTGTCAGTCTTGTCATGCCATCTCTATGTTCTCTGTCAGTCTTGTCATGCCACCATCTCTATGTTCTCTGTCAGTCTTGTCATGCCACCATCTCTATGTTCTCTGTCAGTCTTGTCATGCCATCTCTATGTTCTCTGTCAGTCTTGTCATGCCACCATCTCTATGTTCTCTGTCAGTCTTGTCATGCCATCTCTATGTTCTCTGTCAGTCTTGTCATGCCACCATCTCTATGTTCTCTGTCAGTCTTGTCATGCCACCATCTCTATGTTCTCTGTCAGTCTTGTCATGCCACCATCTCTATGTTCTCTGTCAGTCTTGTCATGCCACCATCTCTATGTTCTCTGTCAGTCTTGTCATGCCACCATCTCTATGTTCTCTGTCAGTCTTGTCATGCCACCATCTCTATATTCTCTGTCAATCTTGTCATGCCACCATCTCTATGTTCTCTGTCAGTCTTGTCATGCCACCATCTCTATGTTCTCTGTCAGTCTTGTCATGCCACCATCTCTATGTTCTCTGTCAGTCTTGTCATGCCACCATCTCTATGTTCTCTGTCACTCTTGTCATGCCATCTCTATGTTCTCTGTCAGTCTTGTCATGCCACCATCTCTATGTTCTCTGTCAGTCTTGTCATGCCATCTGTATGTTCTCTGTAAGTCTTGTCATGCCACCATCTCTATGTTCTCTGTCAGTCTTGTCATGCCATCTCTATGTTCTCTGTCAGTCTTGTCATGCCACCATCTCTATGTTCTCTGTCAGTCTTGTCATGCCACCATCTCTATGTTCTCTGTCAGTCTTGTCATGCCACCATCTCTATGTTCTCTGTCAGTCTTGTCATGCCACCATCTCTATGTTCTCTGTCAGTCTTGTCATGCCACCATCTCTATGTTCTCTGTCAGTCTTGTCATGCCACCATCTCTATGTTCTCTGTCAGTCTTGTCATGCCACCATCTCTATGTTCTCTGTCAGTCTTGTCATGCCACCATCTCTATGTTCTCTGTCAGTCTTGTCATGCCATCTCTATGTTCTCTGTCAGTCTTGTCATGCCACCATCTCTATGTTCTCTGTCAGTCTTGTCATGCCACCATCTCTATGTTCTCTGTCAGTCTTGTCATGCCATCTCTATGTTCTCTGTCAGTCTTGTCATGCCACCATCTCTATGTTCTCTGTCAGTCTTGTCATGCCACCATCTCTATGTTCTCTGTCAGTCTTGTCATGCCACCATCTCTATGTTCTCTGTCAGTCTTGTCATGCCACCATCTCTATGTTCTCTGTCAGTCTTGTCATGCCACCATCTCTATGTTCTCTGTCAGTCTTGTCATGCCACCATCTCTATGTTCTCTGTCAGTCTTGTCATGCCACCATCTCTATGTTCTCTGTCAGTCTTGTCATGCCACCATCTCTATGTTCTCTGTCAGTCTTGTCATGCCACCATCTCTATGTTCTCTGTCAGTCTTGTCATGCCACCATCTCTATGTTCTCTGTCAGTCTTGTCATGCCACCATCTCTATGTTCTCTGTCAGTCTTGTCATGCCATCTCTATGTTCTCTGTCAGTCTTGTCATGCCACCATCTCTATGTTCTCTGTCAGTCTTGTCATGCCACCATCTCTATGTTCTCTGTCAGTCTTGTCATGCCATCTCTATGTTCTCTGTCAGTCTTGTCATGCCACCATCTCTATGTTCTCTGTCAGTCTTGTCATGCCACCATCTCTATGTTCTCTGTCAGTCTTGTCATGCCACCATCTCTATGTTCTCTGTCAGTCTTGTCATGCCACCATCTCTATGTTCTCTGTCAGTCTTGTCATGCCACCATCTCTATGTTCTCTGTCAGTCTTGTCATGCCACCATCTCTATGTTCTCTGTCAGTCTTGTCATGCCATCTCTATGTTCTCTGTCAGTCTTGTCATGCCACCATCTCTATGTTCTCTGTCAGTCTTGTCATGCCACCATCTCTATGTTCTCTGTCAGTCTTGTCATGCCACCATCTCTATGTTCTCTGTCAGTCTTGTCATGCCACCATCTCTATGTTCTCTGTCAGTCTTGTCATGCCACCATCTCTATGTTCTCTGTCAGTCTTGTCATGCCACCATCTCTATGTTCTCTGTCAGTCTTGTCATGCCACCATCTCTATGTTCTCTGTCAGTCTTGTCATGCCACCTAGTCTCTTGTTTAACATTTTCAGCATTTTCCAAAGGATCCTCCCGAGCCTTCAGGCATCAAACTCTCGGCCCACTGGTGTTTCCTGGATTGTAAGGAATCGTGGTGTTCATACAAACACACAACACACTCATCATACCCACAACACACTCATCACACAACACACTCATCACACAACACACTCATCACACAACACACACACTCATCATACCCACAACACACTCATCATACCCACAACACACTCATCACACAACACACTCATCATACACAACACACTCATCATACACAACACACTCATCACACACACACACACACTCATTACACTTACTCATCACATAACACACTCATCACACACAACACACTCATCACATAACACACTTATCACACACACACTCATCACACACACTCATCACACACACACACACACACACTCATCACACACACACACATCACACACACACACACTCATCACACACACTCATCACACACACACTCATCACACACACACACTCATCACACACACACACTCATCACACTCAACACTCATCACACACACACACTCATCACACACACACACACTCATCATCACACAACACACTCATCACACACACACACACTCATTACACACACACACATCACACACACACACACTCATCACACACACTCATCACACACACACACACAACACACTTATCACACACAACACACTTATCACACATACACACACACACTCATCACACACACACAACAAACTAATCACACATACACAACACACTCATCACACACACACACTCATCATACACAACACACTCATCAAACACACACAACACACTCATCATACACAACACACACAACACACTTATCACACACAACACACTTATCACACACAACACACTCATCACACACAACACACACAACACACTTATCACACACAACACACTTATCACACATACACACACACACTCATCACACACACACAACAAACTAATCACACATACACAACACACTCATCACACACACACACTCATCATACACAACACACTCATCAAACACACACAACACACTCATCATACACAACACACTCATCACACACACACTCATCATACACAACACACTCATCACACACTCACTCATCACACACACACACTCATCATACCCACAACACACTCATCACACAACACACTCATCATACACAACACACTCATTACACATACACACACACTCATCACACACACATACACTCATTACACACACTCATCACATAACACACTCATCACACACAACACACTCATCACACACACACTCATCATACACAACACACTCATCACACACACACACACACTCATCACACACACATACACTCATTACACACACTCATCACATAACACACTCATCACACACAACACACTCATCATACACAACACACTCATCACACACACACACTCATCACACACACATACACTCATTACACACACTCATCACATAACACACTCATCACACACAACACACTCATCATACACAACACACTCATCACACACACACACTCATCATACACACACACTCATCATACCCACAACACACTCATCACACAACACACTCATCACACACAACACACTCATCACATAACACACTTATCACACACACACTCATCGCACACACACACTCATCACACACACACACACTCATCACACACACACACACACTCATCACACACACACACACTCATCACACACACACACACTCATCACACACACACTCATCACACACACACACACTCATCACACACACTCATCACACACACACACACTCATCACACACACACACACACACTCATAACACACACACACTCATCACACACACTCATCACACACACACTCATCACACACACACTCATCACACTCAACACTCATCACACACACACACTCATCACACACACACACACTCATCACACACACACACACATCACACACACACTCATCACACACACTCACTCATCACAAACACACACTCATCACACACACACTCATCACACACACACACTCATCACACACACACACATCACACACACTCATCACACACACTCATCACACACACACACACTCATCACACACAACACACACAACACACAGCACATTCATCTACCTAATACATCACCCAACTTGTGTTTTTCCCAGCCACTACAGCTGAAAGATTTTTTCCTATTGACAAAGCCCAAGAATCCCTGCACTATATCACAGATATCTCATCCGAGGATTTGTATGTCCTTGACCCTGACATGCCCCCAGCCTATCTCAGGCCACCCGCCCCCAATGGCCACAGAGAGCTGACCTTGCATGGCAATGGAGCTGTTACTGGAACAGAAGATGGCACACTGACCTTGAACTTTACATTCCCAGTCTCCCCCCCAAAGTCACCCAACTTGTTGCGGTAAGCAGTTTTTATACCTGGCTAAACCAAGATTGGCTAAACCAAGATTGGCTAAACCAAGATTGGCTAAACCAAGATTGGCTAAACCAAGATTGGCTAAACCAAGATTGGCTAAACCAAGATTGGCTAAATCAAGATTGGCTAAACCAAGATTGGCTAAACCAAGACTGGCTAAACCAAGACTGGCTAAACCAAGATTGGCTAAACCAAGATTGGCTAAACCAATATTGGCTAAACCAAGACTGGCTAAACCAAGATTGGCTAAACCAAGATTGGCTAAACCAAGATTGGCTAAACCAAGATTGGCTAAACCAAGATTGGCTAAACCAAGATTGGCTAAACCAAGATTGGCTAAACCAGGACAGCTTAACAACCAAAGAAAACTTTATATTGTATTTATGTGACCTTAATCTGATGGGAGCTGACAATTGATTAGCCTGACATTTCTGACATTATAGTAGCCTGACATTTGAGTAGCCTGACATTTCTGACATTATAGTAGCCTGACATTTGAGTAGCCTGACATTTCTGACATTATAGTAGCCTGACATTTGAGTAGCCTGACATTTCTGACATTATAGTAGCCTGACATTTGAGTAGCCTGACATTTCTGACATTATAGTAGCCTGACATTTGAGTAGCCTGACATTTCTGCCATTGGATTATCCTGACATTTATGACATGAGTAGCCTGACATTTAAGTAGCCTGACATTTGATTAGCCTGAGATTTAAGTAGCCTGACATTTGAGTAGCCTGACATTTGAGTAGCTTGACATTTGAGTAGCCTGACATTTGAGTAACCTGACATTTGCGTAACCTGACACTTCTGACATTACAGTAGCCTGACATTTGAGTAGCCTGGCATTTGAGTAGCCTGACATTTGAGTAACCTGACATTTGCGTAACCTGACACTTCTGACATTTGAGTAGCCTGACATTTGAGTAGCCTGACATTTGAGTAGCCTGACATTTGAGTAGCTTGACATTCTCACTTTTTCTTTTCCTACAGCTTGCTAAGGTAAGGTTTTTTTCAATCAACTTCTGTTATTAATCGTATCATTTGTAGACCAAAATTATTACAGATATTTTGGCAGTCTGTGTCCAGTTGTCTCTACACTCCACATGTGTCCAGTTATCTCTACACTCCACATGTGCCCAGTTGTCCCTACACTCCACATGTGCCCAGTTGTCCCTACACTCCACATGTGTCCAGTTATCTCTACACTCCACATGTGCCCAGTTGTCCCTACACTCCACATGTGCCCAGTTGTCCCTACACTCCACATGTGTCCAGTTATCTCTACACTCCACATGTGCCCAGTTGTCCCTACACTCCACATGTGCCCAGTTGTCCCTACACTCCACATGTGCCCAGTTGTCCCTACACTCCACATGTGCCCAGTTGTCCCTACACTCCACATGTGTCCAGTTATCTCTACACTCCACATGTGCCCAGTTGTCCCTACACTCCACATGTGCCCAGTTGTCCCTACACTCCACATGTGTCCAGTTATCTCTACACTCCACATGTGCCCAGTTGTCCCTACACTCCACATGTGCCCAGTTGTCCCTACACTCCACATGTGCCCAGTTCCCTACACTCCACATGTGTCCAGTTATCTCTACACTCCACATGTGCCCAGTTGTCCCTACACTCCACATGTGCCCAGTTGTCCCTACACTCCACATGTGCCCAGTTGTCCCTACACTCCACATGTGCCCAGTTGTCACTACACTCCACATGTGCCCAGTTGTCTCTACACTCCACATGTGCCCAGTTGTCCCTACACTCCACATGTGCCCAGTTATCTCTACACTCCACATGTGCCCAGTTGTCCCTACACTCCACATGTGCCCAGTTGTCCCTACACTCCACATGTGCCCAGTTGTCCCTACACTCCACATGTGCCCAGTTGTCCCTACACTCCACATGTGCCCAGTCGTCCCTACACTCCACATGTGCCCAGCTGTCCCTACACTCCACATGTGCCCAGTTGTCTCTCCACTCCACATGTGCCCAGTTGTCCCTACACTCCACATGTGCCCAGTTGTCCCTACACTCCACATGTGCCCAGTTGTCCCTACACTCCACATGTGCCCAGTTGTCCCTACACTCCACATGTGCCCAGTTGTCCCTACACTCCACATGTGCCCAGTTGTCCCTACACTCCACATGTGCCCAGTCGTCCCTACACTCCACTCCACATGTGCCCAGTTGTCCCTACACTCCACATGTGCCCAGTTGTTCCTACACACATGTGTTCACCAGTGTTTCTTCCAGACTTTTTTCTCCGGGGGGGGGGGTGCACTTGCAATTTTTGGGCGGGAGGGGACAACATTCTCTCCTACACTTGTATACACTGTCTGGTCTTAAAACTCCCCCAACATCAATTTTGAACTTTGTATTTTTATTAAATGCTTACTTTGAGTGTACATAAATTGGGCACAAGAAAAAGTTTTTCATTGTTTTGTTTGACCAGCCAAAGTGGACGTCACCAGTTGGTAGATAGAACTAGTTTCATGTGAGTGCTAGCTGTTTGCACCTCCTGCACAGATCTGCCCACTTTAATTTGTAACACCATCTTCCACTTTGTTTTGTGACACCATCTGCCCACTTTAATTTGTGACACCATCTGCCCACTTTAATTTGTGACACCATCTTCCACTTTGTTTTGTGACACCATCTGCCCACTTTAATTTGTGACACCATCTGCCCACTTTAATTTGTGACACCATCTGCCCACTTTAATTTGTGACACCATCTGCCCACTTTGTTTTGTGACACCATCTGCCCACTTTGTTTTGTGACACCATCTTCCACTTTGTTTTGTGACACCATCTGCCCACTTTAATTTGTGACACCATCTGCCCACTTTAATTTGTGACACCATCTTCCACTTTGTTTTGTGACACCATCTGCCCACTTTAATTTGTGACACCATCTGCCCACTTTAATTTGTGACACCATCTTCCACTTTGTTTTGTGACACCATCTGCCCACTTTAATTTGTGACACCATCTGCCCACTTTAATTTGTGACACCATCTTCCACTTTGTTTTGTGACACCATCTGCCCACTTTAATTTGTGACACCATCTTCCACTTTGTTTTGTGACACCATCTGCCCACTTTAATTTGTGACACCATCTGCCCACTTTAATTTGTGACACCATCTTCCACTTTGTTTTGTGACACCATCTGCCCACTTTAATTTGTGACACCATCTGCCCACTTTAATTTGTGACACCATCTGCCCACTTTAATTTGTGACACCATCTTCCACTTTGTTTTGTGACACCATCTGCCCACTTTAATTTGTGACACCATCTGCCCACTTTAATTTGTGACACCATCTGCCCACTTTAATTTGTGACACCATCTTCCACTTTGTTTTGTGACACCATCTGCCCACTTTAATTTGTGACACCATCTGACCACTTTATTTTGTGACAAAGACCTATGACCCAATGGTTAACATTTTTACACTGTTTGAGAAAGACCTTTCCTGTGGTGGAAGGTTTGAGAAAGACCTTTCCTGTGGTGGAAGAAGTCCTGTGGATGACAAATAAAGTAGTTGACGAATTTGCGCTGTTTCCCATCTTATTTCCCACTTCTGGTCATATCAGTTGATCTTGTCTGCTGTAGTTATTGCAGCTTTAGTAAAGTCTGAAGGTAGTTAGAGATGTTTTTTTCTATTTTTAGCTCAGAACCCGGCAGCCCAGCCCCCCATGGAAGTTTGGAGAACAAGCCACACACAATCTCCACACTCGACAAACGTGAGTCACACACAATCTCCACACTCGACAAACGTGAGTCACACACAATCTCCACACTCGACAAACGTGAGTCACACACAATCTCCACACTCGACAAACGTGAGTCACACACAATCTCCACACTCGACAAACGTGAGTCACACACAATCTCCACACTCGACAAACGTGAGTCACACACAATCTCCACACTCGACAAACGTGAGTCACACACAATCTCCACACTCGACAAACGTGAGTCACACACAATCTCCACACTCGACAAACGTGAGTCAGCTGTTGGATGGGACTTGTCATCTTCTGTTTGATTGATGGATGTGCTAATTTGGTGGATTGATGGATGTGCTAATTTGGTGGATTGGTGGATGTGCTAATTTGGTAGATTAATGGATGTGCTAATTTGGTGGATTGATGGATGTGCTAATTTGGTGGATTAATGGATTTGCTAATTTGGTGGATTAATGGATGTGCTATTTTGGTGGATTGATGGATGTGCTAATTTGGTGGATTAATGGATGTGCTAATTTGGTGGATTAATGGATGTGCTAATTTGGTGGATTGATGGATGTGCTAATTTGGTGGATTGGTGGATGTGCTAATTTGGTGGATTGGTGGATGTGCTAATTTGGTGGATTAATGGATGTGCTAATTTGGTGGATTGATGGATGTGCTAATTTGGTGGATTGATGGATGTGCTAATTTGGTGGATTAATGGATGTGCTATTTTGGTGGATTGATGGATGTGCTGTTTGGAGGATTAATGGATGTGCTAATTTGGTGGATTGATGGATGTGCTAATTTGGTGGATTGATGGATGTGCTAATTTGGTGGATTGATGGATGTGCTAATTTGGTGGATTGATGGATGTGCTAATTTGGTGGATTGATGGATGTGCTAATTTGGTGGATTGATGGATGTGCTAATTTGGTGGATTAATGGATGTGCTAGTTTGGTGGATTGATGGATGTGCTGTTTGGAGGATTAATGGATGTGCTAATTTGGTGGATTGATTGATGTGCTGTTTGGAGGATTAATGGATGTGCTAATTTGGTGGATTAATGGATGTGCTATTTTGGTGGATTGATGGATGTGCTATTTTGGTGGATTGATGGATGTGCTAATTTGGTGGATTGATGGATGTGCTAATTTGGTGGATTGATGGATGTGCTAATTTGGTGGATTGATGGATGTGCTAATTTGCTGGATTGATGGATGTGCTAATTTGGTGGATTGATGGATGTGCTAATTTGGTGGATTAATGGATGTGCTATTTTGGTGGATTGATGGATGTGCTGATTTGGTGGATTGATGGATGTGCTAAATTGGTGGATTGATGGATGTGCTAATTTGGTGGATTGATGGATGTGCTGTTTGGTGGATACGAATGGCAACAAGTACTAGTTTGTTCCATATCTGACATTATATATCTGTCATTAAATATCTGTCATTACATATCTGTCATTACATATCTGTCATTAAATATCTGTCATTACATATCTGTCATTACATATCTGTCATTACAGAGCTTCTGGACGCCTCAAAGAGAGGGGATATCCACAAGGTGTTTGCTTTTTTTCTGTCACCTTCACTAAACTCTTGGATCATCATACTGACTGACCACTGACATCATGCTGACTGACCACTGACATGCTGACTGACCACTGACATAATACTGACTGACCACTGACATGTTGACTGACCACTGTCATGTTGACTGACCACTGACATGTTGACTGACCACTGACATGTTGTCTGACCACTGACATGTTGTCTGACCACTGACATGTTGTCTGACCACTGACATATTGACTGATCACTGACATGTTCACTGACATGCTGACTGACCACTGACATGTTGTCTGACCACTGACATGCTGACCGACCACTGACATGTCTGACCACTGACATGTTGTCTGACCACTGACATATTGACTGACCACTGACATGTTGTCTGACCACTGACATGTTGTCTGACCACTGACATCTTGACTGACCACTGACATGTTGTCTGACCACTGACATGTTGTCTGACCACTGAAAAAATGATGTCATGATGATGTTACAGATAGCAGAACTGAATCATAAAGGAGCCAATCTTTTAGCCACTGACCAGTATGGGATGACATGCCTTCATCATGCTGCAAGGTTTGGACATAAAGGAGTGGTCAAATTTCTAATAGATAATGGTAATTTATTTTTTTTTGCTTCTTTTTTGCACCTGTCAGTATTGCCACTCAACTGCAATTATGCCACTACCTTACACCACTATCTTACACCACTAGACTTACACCACTACCTTACACCACTACCTTACACCACTAGACTTACACCACTAGACGTACACATCTACCTTACACCACTACCTTACATCACTACCTTACAACACTAGACTTACACCACTACCTTAAACCACTACCTTACACATCTACCTTACACCACCACCTTACATCACTTCCTTACTCCACTAGACTTACACATCTACCTTACACCACTAGACTTACACCCCTACCTTACACCACTACCTTACACCACTACCCTACACCACCACCTTACACCACTAGACTTACAACACTACCTTACACCACCACCTTACACCACCACCTTACACCACTGCCTTACACCACTAGACTTACATCACTACCTTACACCACTAGACTTACACATCTACCTTACACCACTAGACTTACACCCCTACCTTACACCACTAGACTTACACCACTACCTTACACCACTACCTTACACATCTACCTTACACCACCACCTTACACCACTAGACTTACACCACCACCTTACACCACTACCTTACACCACTAGACTTACACCACTAGACTTACACCACTACCTTACACCACTACCTTACACATCTACCTTACACCACCACCTTACACCACTAGACTTACACCACCACCTTACACCACTACCTTGCACCACTAGACTTACACCACTACCTGACACCACTACTTTACATCACTACCTTACATCACTACCTTACACCACTACCTTACACCACTAGACTTACAACACTACCTTACACCACCACCTTACACCACTACCTTACACCACTAGACTTACAACACTACCATACACCACTACCTTACATCACTACCTTACACATCTACCTTACACCACCACCTTACACCACTAGACTTACACTACTGCCTCACACCACTAGACTTACACCACCACCTTACATCACTACCTTACACCACTAGACTTACACCATTGCCTTACACCAATAGACTTACACCACTACCTTACACCACTACTTTACATCACTACCTTACATCACTACCTTACACCACTACCTTACACCACTAGATTTACACCACCACCTTACACCAACACCTTACACCACTACCTTACACCACTAGACTTACAACACTACCTTACACCACTACTTTACATCACTACCTTACATCACTACCTTACACCACTACCTTACACCACTAGACTTACACCAATATTTGTCTCTTCCAAAACTCTTGCTTTGATTAATGATTTCATTGCTTTCATTTCAGCCCCTCCCCTCATTCTAGATATGGTTGAACATGAAAAGTAAGTTTTTGCTCACTTTAAATATGATCACAAGGGTACCTTAACTAATCCAACCATCTTATGGTACCTTAACTAATCCACCCATCTCATGGTAATTTAACTAATCCACCCATCTCATGGTAATTTAACAAATCCACCCATCTCATGGTAATTTAACTAATCCACCCATCTTATGGTACCTTAACTAATCCACCCATCTCATGGTAATTTAACGAATCCACTCATCTTATGGTAATTTAACTTATCCACCCATCTTATGGTACCTTAACTAATCCACCCATCTCATGGTAATTTAACTAATCCACCCATCTTATGGTATCTTAACTAATTCACCCATCTCATGGTACCTTAACTAATCCACCCATCTTATGGTAATTTAACTAATCCAACCATCTCATGGTAATTTAACTAATCCAACCATCTCATGGTACCTTAACTAATCCACCCATCTCATGGTAATTTAACTAATTCACCCATCTCATGGTACCTTAACTAATCCACCCATCTCATGGTAATTTAACTAATCCACCCATCTTATGGTACCTAACTAGTGGATGTAAAATCTTTTTCCAATGGACCTATACAAAAGTAATTAGACAAAGCTGGGATTGTATTTTTCAGGGGCCAAACAGCCCTGCATAAAGCTGCGTGGTATCAGCGTAGAACAATCTGTCACATGTTGGTGGCCGCTGGAGCCTCGCTGACCCGCACAGACTTCCAGGGCAACTCCCCCAGACAGCAGGCACTCAAAGCAGAAGACAAAGAGCTGGCTGCCTATTTAGAAAGTGAGAACAATTTAGGGTGGGAGGATGACATTGGTAAAAAAAAAATTGAGATATGTACCCAGTAATAGAATGACAATTTTAAGAACTGGTTTTTATTATTAAGTATCACAATGACATTCTCCTTACTGCTCTATTAGAATATACTTTTTTGGTTTTTTACTTTCTCGTATATACAAAGTATAGAGAAAGTATTGTAATCGTGCACAAAAATCACTTGACATTTCAACAATTTTCACCGTATTACACCTCAGTCCTTCATCACATCCAAAGTATAGAGGTCTTATTTTAATCGGGCAAAAATTATCAATCCAGATTTATCAAAATTAAGAGGTTTTATGCGTAATCCATTCTGAAAAACTGGGCTTTGCAATGGACACCAGTGAGTTGACGAAAATCCTTTCGTAATGTTGTTGACATGGAATAAAAATGTGCTTTTTTAGATATAGGACCGTAAAAATAATTAAAAATTTTTTTTATTAAAAACTTAAGCCTAAAATTAATTCAGAAATTTAATATTTTTAGAATCAATGCTATACAAGTTGCAGATCCAGAGAACTTGAAAATAATTTGTTGAGTTTAAGGCTACATTTCTATTTATTTTCATCAAGCCTAAGTTATAACCCGATGTTTCACTTTCGTAAGACAAACATTGATTGGCTGTAAAGGAACTCCGTGATCGATTTCTGACAGCCCCACTTTATAGTTATTTTGTTTACAAAACTTTGCAGATCAAGTTTTTAAATAACAATGCAAATCTAAACACCATGACCTAGTTTTTCTATTTTTAGCTTACAATGTGTACAATAAAATTTATGGCGGCCTATCGAATAGCAGGATGCCATTGTTTATGTCGCCATTACACGTGAAAACCAAATTGTTTTTGCTTTTTACTTTCTCGTATATACGAAGTATAGAGAAAGTATTGTAATCGTGCACAAAAATCACTTGAAATTTTAACAATTTTCACCGCATTACACCTCAGTCCTTCTTGACATCCGAAGTATAGAGGACTTATTTTAGTCGGGCAAAAACTATCAATCCAGATTTATCAAAATTAAAAGGTTTTATGCGTAATCCAGTCTGAAAAACTGGGCTTTGCAATTCTGTCCGTATGTCTGTGTGTGTGTCTGTGTGTAAACACGATTACTTGAGTACCGTTACAGCTAGGTTGATGAAATTTCATATATAAGTATTTTATCAAAATCGTAGATCTGTATCAACTTTTGAGCGATTTCCGATAACCGGAAGTGGTACTTTTTCTTCTTTGAATTTTTCAAAAGACTATAAGTTGAGTACTATTTCAGATAGATAAATGAAGTTTCACATGTGAGTAAAAGATCTAATTTTCTACCATCTGTTAAATTTTGAGTAATCCCTTGACCGGAAGTAGTAATTTACGCTACTTCCGATTTCTCAAAAAACAAATGTAAATTTTTAAAGTACTAATAATATTGCGCACTAGTATGCACTTTTTTATTTGGCGTTCACTTGGTGTGCAATTAATTTGTCTACGAGATTTTATTCTATTTTTAAAACTTTAAGTATTTAAAATGGATTAAAAATCATGTCTATAGCCCGAGTTCCCATCCCCTGTTGTTTTATATAAGAATATTCGAGAAAGTTTAGGGGAGATCACTCCCGGTTTATTTTTTTAAATTTTTATTTAGTTACCGAAAATATTAAAAACATCAAATACATCCAATCTTTAGTAAAGTACGAAAAAAACCAGACAGGCAGGATTTTATACCCTTATTAATTGTAATGTAAATTAATTTATGGACCTCTCAAATACCTTTGAGACTTTTCTCGCTGGTGTCCATTCTGTCCGTCTGTCTGTCTGTCTGTCTGTGTGTAAACACGATAACTTGAGTACCGTTACAGCTAGGTTGATGAAATTTCATATATAAGTATTTTATAAAAATCGTAGATCCGTATCAACTTTTGAGCGATTTCTGATAACCGGAAGTGGTACTTTTTCTACTTTGAATTTTTCAAAAGCCTATGACATGAGTACTATTTCAGATAGATAAATGAAATTTCACATGTAAGTAAAAGATCTAATTCTCTACCTTCTATCAAATTTTGAGTAATTTCCATTGACCGGAAGTAGTAATTTACGCTACTTCCGATTTCTCAAAAAACTAATATGTAAATTTTTAAAGTACTAATAATATTGCGCACTATTATGCACTTTTTTTATTTAGCGTTCACTTGGTGTGCAATTCTTTTGTCTACGAGATTTTATTCTATTTTTAAAACTTTAAGTATTTAAAATGGATTAAAAATCATGTCTATAGCCCGAGTTCCCATCCCTTGTTGTTTTATTCGAGAAAGTTTAGGGGAGATCACTCCCGGTTTATTTTTATTCACAATCTTTCATTCAAGATTAAATTGTCTTTGTTTCAAAAGAAAACTGGCTGTTTTGCTGCATTACAGGGCTGTCTGTATATTAAACATTGAATGAATCGTATTTTGCTTTCAGGAATGGTAAAATTGGGGGATTGAATTTCAGGATTCCCTTTCTAAATGAGTTGTACCCTCAGAAAGTCAGAATTTTGGGACTGAGCATAATTATCATACCTAATGTTTTCATTTTACAGACCAAGAGAACATAATTAACAGACCTAATTTTTTCTTTTTACAGACCAAGAACATTTCCAATTAGTTCAGTCAGAAGATCAGGAAACAGCTGTATGACATGAGGTGATCAAGTAACAGCTGCTGTATGACATGAGGTCATCAAGTAACAGCTGCTGTATGACATGAAGTGATCAAGTAACAGCTGCTGTATGACATGAGGTCATCAAGTAACAGCTGCTGTATGACATGAAGTGATCAAGTAACAGCTGCTGTATGACATGAGGTCATCAAGTAACAGCTGCTGTATGACATGAGGTCATCAAGTAACAGCTGCTGTATGACATGAGGTCATCAAGTAACAGCTGCTGTATGACATGAGGTCATCAAGTAACAGCTGCTGTATGACATGAGGTCATCAAGTAACAGCTGCTGTATGACATGAGGTCATCAAGTAACAGCTGCTGTATGACATGAGGTCATCAAGTAACAGCTGCTGTATGACATGAGGTCATCAAGTAACAGCTGCTGTATGACATGAGGTCAACAGCTGCTGTATGACATGAGGTCATCAAGTAACAGCTGCTGTATGACATGAGGTCAACAGCTGCTGTATGACATGAGGTCATCAAGTAACAGCTGCTGTATGACATGAGGTCATCAAGTAACAGCTGCTGTATGACATGAGGTCAACAGCTGCTGTATGACAGTGTGGCAGCTCATGATGTAGGCGACTTGATTGTGCCAGTCATCCCCAGCAGTAGAGGCTGTCAGCAGAGTTTCTTCCACCCACACCCCCCGAACGAGATGGAATTTATATAGTCAAATATACTTTTACTAGTGTCCGCCCCCCCCCCCCCCGCCCCCCGAAAAATGTCTGGAAGAAACACTGGAGGTTTGACCTGTTTTGTTTCCACTGGCCACCCATACACCAGCCCACCCATACACCAGCCCGCCCATACACCAGCCCACCAGCCCGCCCATACACCAGCCCACCCATACACCAGCCCGCCCATACACCAGCCCACCCATACACCAGCCCACCCATACACCAGCCCACCCATACACCAGCCCACCCATACACCAGCCCACCCATACACCAGCCCACCCATACACCAGCCCGCCCATACACCAGCCCACCCATACACCATACACCAGCCCGCCCATACACCAGCCCACCCATACACCAGCCCACCAGCCCGCCCATACACCAGCCCGCCCATACACCAGCCCGCCCATACACCAGCCCGCCCATACACCAGCCCACCCATACACCAGCCCACCCATACACCAGCCCACCCATACACCAGCCCACCCATACACCAGCCCACCCATACACCAGCCCGCCCATACACCAGCCCACCCATACACCATACACCAGCCCACCCATACACCAGCCCGCCAATCCACCAGCCCACCCATACACCAGCCCGCCCATACACCATACACCAGCCCACCCATACACCAGCCCACCCATACACCAGCCCACCCATACACCAGCCCACCCATACACCAGCCCACCCATACACCAGCCCACCCATACACCAGCCCGCCCATACACCAGCCCACCCATACACCAGCCCACCAGCCCGCCCATACACCAGCTCACCCATACAATGCCCACCCATACACCATACACCAGCCCACCCATACACCAGCCCACCCATACACCAGCCCACCCATACACCAGCCCACCCATACACCAGCCCACCCATACACCAGCTCACCCATACACCAGCCCACCCATACACCATACACCAGCCCACCCATACACCATACACCAGCCCACCCATACACCATACACCAGCCCACCCATACACCATACACCAGCCCGCCCATACACCATACACCAGCCCACCCATACACCAGCCCACCCATACACCAGCCCGCCCATACACCAGCCCACCCATACACCATACACCAGCCCACCCATACACCAGCCCACCCATACACCAGCCCACCCATACACCATACACCAGCCCACCCATACACCAGCCCACCCATACACCAGCCCACCCATACACCATACACCAGCCCACCCATACACCAGCCCACCCATACACCATACACCAGCCCACCCATACACCAGCCCACCAGCCCGCCCATACACCAGCCCACCCATACACCAGCCCACCCATACACCAGCCCACCCATACACCATACACCAGCCCACCCATACACCAGCCCACCCATACACCAGCCCACCCATACACCATACACCAGCCCACCCATACACCAGCCCACCCATACACCAGCCCACCCATACACCAGCCCGCCCATACACCATACACCAGCCCACCCATACACCAGCCCACCCATACACCAGCCCACCCATACACCAGCCCGCCCATACACCAGCCCGCCCATACACCAGCCCACCCATACACCAGCCCACCCATACACCAGCCCACCCATACACCAGCCCACCCATACACCAGCCCACCCATACACCAGCCCGCCCATACACCATACACCAGCCCACCCATACACCAGCCCACCCATACACCAGCCCACCCATACACCAGCCCACCAGCCCGCCCATACACCAGCCCACCCATACACCAGCCCACCCATACACCATACACCAGCCCACCCATACACCAGCCCACCAGCCCGCCCATACACCAGCCCACCCATACACCAGCCCACCCATACACCAGCCCACCCATACACCAGCCCACCCATACACCAGCCCACCCATACACCATACACCAGCCCACCCATACACCAGCCCACCCATACACCAGCCCACCCATACACCAGCCCGCCATTGGTCTCCCACATGTCAGGTCTCATGTCACCTTTCACAACTCACTAGAAAAACTAAAGTTTGAACAATGAACCAATCCAGATGTTTGCCTTCCACCATTGATATGGACACTCTGTGAATAGGGAACACATACCCTTCTTGGGGGGCACATAACGTTGACGTACTATCAACATTACCTTGGGCCGAATCTATTTCGGAGGCCAAAGACGTTATTTATCCTTTATCAAAAAATAAATATTTGTCATTAGTTCAATTAAGAATTCTCGTAAATGATGTTGTTTTCATATTGTGATGTTTGTAGAATATTCTTCCATATCCACTGACCTAGACTGTTGTTGGTTATACCGTTAGGGCAGTGGCTGTAGAACTTACTTGCTAGCTTCTAGCTTGGATTCTCTTGTTAGTTGTTTGCTTTTTAAACTAGAATTGTGCAGCGTTCAAGTCATGTCTCTACTCAATAGTCATTGAACAAAAGACCAAAACCTTCATGTCTCAGTCCAGCTGCACTTTTACAGGTGTCCACTGTTTTAACACCTGGGGCTCCAGGTGTCCACTGTTCTAACACCTGGGGCTCCAGGTGTCCACTGTTCTAACACCTGGGGCTCCAGGTGTCCACTGTTCTAACACCTGGGGCTCCAGGTGTCCACTGTTCTAACACCTGGGGCTCCAGGTGTCCACTGTTCTAACACCTGGGGCTCCAGGTGTCCACTGTTCTAATACCTGGGGCTCCAGGTGTCGACTTGTCCTATGCAACACGTGTTTACTTTCCCTGCCTTATTATACTCATGTTAATGGTGTCAGCAGGGGATATTGTGATGAGTGGGTAACCCCCCCCCCCCTTCTACGAACGACAAATTACGATTGCTTCATGTTCTGATACTAGCGCCTGAGTGTTTGTGTCGCCCTTACTTCATTTGGTTTCTTAATATTTTCAAATCACAATCTTTCATAATTAAAAAACTGTTGTTCTGGTGTAAGCCTATATACATACACACACATATATATATATATATATATATATATATATATATATATATATATATATATATGTATGCATGTATATATATGTATGTATGTATGCATGTATATATATGTATGTATATATATATATATATGTATATATGTGTATATATATATATGTATATATATGTATATATATATATACATACATGTATATGAAACATTTGAGCATCCCCCATCCAGTAAGAAAATCTTGCCAAAGCATCTGTTCCCTTAGCTCCCCTTAGACCTCTGTTGATGACTTACTGGTCAGGTGTGGACTCTGTTGATGACTTACTGGTCAGGTGTGGACTCTGTTGATGACTTACTGGTCAGGTGTGGACTCTGTTGATAGCTTTTAAAGTTTTTTTTTTTTTTTTTAAAGTAACCAACCCATGAAAAGTGCTTCAGTTTGTACATTCATGAAAACTTCAAAAGTTTCATAGAAATTAAGGCAAACGATTTCGCTTTATCAAAGTCCTGCATTTCAAACACAGATATCTATATTATTTGCACAAAATATATAGGCACAAAAGATTGTTGTAACGGGAGGGGGGGGGGGCTTTTCTTTTAGTTCCGTCACTGCACGATATAGATGACTCATCCAACTTTTGTTGTCGCACTCTAGAGAAGGCATTTGTTGGCCACCATTGAGAGAGCTAATGCTTGTATTTTTGTATTCTTGTGGTTTTCTTCATCGAATGTCCATTGTGCCATCACCGTGTTAACATACCTGTTAAAAATTGTTTGATCCATTTGTATTTCTTCAACACAATTAAAATGTAATGCTATTTTTATTTGTCTCCTTGTTTCCTTCTACTCTAAGTGGCCCGCAGAACGTATAGGCCTACTGTATACCACTCGTGGCCAGGAATTTTTATTTCAATTCAATGCATACAATTTATTGCAAATGCCAAGCTTATGAAACTTTATTTTATTGTGCACTTAATTAAAAGGTCATTATGAAGGTGTTTTTTATGTTAGTGTCATTCTGTATGTATGTGTATATATATATATATATATATATATATATAGGCCTATGTATATATAGGCCTATATATATATAGGCCTATATATATATATAGGCCTATATATATATATAGGCCTATATATATATGTACATACATATGTAGGCCTATATATATACATATATATATACACATATATATATGTATATATACATATATATACACACACACATATATACACACACATATACATACATACATACATACATACAGGGTTCGTAAGCTGTCTGGAAAGATACCCAGAAAGATGCGCAACGGAAAAAAGCGCAAAACAAAAAGCGCACACAGAAAAAGTATCGGCGACGGTCGTTAGTTTCGTAAGCTGGACTAGACATCTTTTTTTTTTAATGAAAATTCATTGCCATATGTTACATCTTTTGCGACAGCCTTAATTAGTGCGTTGGGCTTGTATGAAAACTCACTTTGAACTAACTCAATAACATGCTATTTATTTTAACATGACAAGGTAAGCGTCACCCAACCAACTGTTGTGAGGTGAGGACAGGGTCGACAATAAACCAACACGAAGTCTGAATATAATTAACTTATTTATTGTTTGAAAGTACGAACGAGACCTAGACTGCTTATTAGAGAATGGACCGCCAAACTTTCCTAACCTCACCATTTATTATACCCTACCGAACCTCTAAATTTCCTGCGATATATGTCACTTCGCTCCCAATCGTTCCAATTCTACAGAATTGTGTGTACTATTTATTTACATTTTTTAATAATATAACTAAAATAGACTATAGTTTGAAGGGTAATGAAACATTTAAACAAAAGTGAAGCTACTCTAAATGCATGCGAATACTTATATGTAACAATCCTAACACCAACCAAAGCATGTACTGAACAGCATAATAGTATTAATAGGCAGCATGTAGCCTATATAACAGAAAAGCTATGGTTGTTGATATAATTTTGCAGTAAAAGACCTTCAAAAACCTTCCATAACCTTTTTTTGTATATAAAGAAACAAAGAGAGATGAAGTTTTAATAAAACATCAGGCTTATATTTTTGCAAATCTCGACGTTTTACACCTCCCTGAGTCGAAAAACAGTTTTGAAATCTTGTCCTATGTCTGTGTATGTGTCTGTGAACACGATAACTTGAGTACCGTTACAACTAGGTTGATGAAATTTCTTATACAAGTATTATATCAAATGTGTTGTTCTTAATTAACTTTAGAGCGATTTCCGATAAACGGAAGTGGAACTTATTCTACTTTTAATTTTTCAAAAGCCTATAACTTGAGTATTATTTCAGACCGATAAATGAAATTTTAAAAGTAAGTAAAAGATCTAATTCTCTGTCTTCTGTCAAATTTTGCTTAATATCCGTTGACCGGAAGTAGTTGTTTACGCTATTTCCGATTTTAAAAAAAACGCATGTGAATTTATAAAGTACTAATAATATTCCGCACTATTATACTCAGATTTTTGGCATTCACTTGGTGCGCAATTCTTTTTTCTACGAGATTCTATTCTATTAAATTTGTTCTGAATCAACTTTTCAGCGATTTCCGGTAACCGGAAATGGGACTTATTCTACTTTAAATTTTTCAAAAGCCTGTAACTAGATCTAGAATAGATTTACGGAAAAACTAGACGTGGACGCTAAGATCTGGATTTAGACTATCTACTAAAAACAACATGACTACCATTGAACAGCCGGGTTTTTAAAGAAATCTTCTAAGTCTCTTAATTTTAAGTCTCTACTTGGCCGATACGATTCACAGTTGGCACGTGGGTCAAGACATGAAGACAATGCAATCTGAAATTAAATTTGACTTAATTGGATGCCTAATTAATTTTTAAAAAGTTTAACTTAAGTAAAAAAAAATCACGTCTATATATCCCGAGTTGCCATCCCCTGTAGTGTTATATAAGAATATTCGAGAAAGTTTAGAAGACCACTCCCGGTTTATTCATTGAAGCGCAATTCCAGTGACATCTACTCAACTAATTTTAAAAACTTGACCCATTCACTGCTATATAGAGTTTAGAAAAATCGATTTGACTGCAATCGTGTAATATTTTTAGTGTTAATTATTGTGCTAAAATCTAAATTGATGTCCAGAAATATAAATCAATTTTCAGTTTACTACTCAGCACTTTCAATCAGAGTTTCAGCCTCCCCCCCCCCCCCCCGAAAAAATTCTACCTTCCCCCCCCCCCCCCCCCCCCCCCCGAATGAAATGAAATTTATATAATTTATATAGAAAATATATACTTTTAACAGTGGCCGCCCCCCCCCTCGAAAATTTCAAGTGCCCCCCCCCCTTCCCCCCCCCCCCCCCCCGGAGAAAAAAGTCTGGAAGAATCACTGCTTTCAATTGATGCTAAAGAACAAAATCAAACAAATTATATTACCCTTCAAAAAATATTATTTTGTCTGAAAAATTATACAAATCCCACCCATTTATACTGACTTCTTACAAAAACAAAATTAAATTAGAAAAAAAAATTGCTTCCTTTTTACAAGCTTTTATTTAACTCACTTCCTCTGTCGCCAGTCTGTCGACAGTCTGTCGACAGTCTATCTGTCGTCAGTCTAAATCGAAACGCAGGAGTGAAAATTCGGACATTTCTACTTGACCGATACGATTCACACTTGGCACGTGGGTCAAGACATGAAGACAATGCAATCTGAAATTAAATTTGACTTAATTGGATGCCTAATTAATTTTTTATGATTTAATTAAAATTTGGACCTAATTAGTAGGCATGTCTATCCAACCACACCACACGCGTCATCACGTTCAATAGCTGCACCATCACGTTCAGTGGGCGCGCAATGGTTTTTAGTCATGTAAAAAAAAACATGTAAAATACTAAAAAAAAAATTCATAAAAACGTTTTAATTACAAGCTTTTATGTAATAATGCACTAAAAAGTAGAAAATAAATTATAGACTACTATTTAAATAACTATTAAGAAAAGTGTGGTGGATTGGAGCTGTTCTATTATAATACACTGACGAGAAGCCACGCGTTGATTGTTAACTAGTCTTTATTCAGCCATGATGGAAAGAGGAAGAGGAAGTGACGAGACATAAACATATATATAACAAGGGACATCACTCAAGATAACATTATAAATATAATACTAATACAAGAAGAGTGAGTTCCCTTGACTTCACAATTCTCAATATATTACATACCTTTACCCTTAGTAAACAACAACACATCTCTCAATAGAACAATTGACAGTATCTTAAAATCACCAATATATTGCAACATGAACATTATGGTAGATTACACCCTTACAAACAATGCACAATATGCTACAACATAATTAAGATACAAAACAATGATGTCAAAGTCCTTTTGACCTTTAAAATCATAGGTCTAACTTATCTGGGACTTTGATTGTCCTGTTTGACCTTCTCAGTGGCTTTTGATTTGGTGACTCAAGATTCTGACCATCTGGATTCTCTAGCTCAGGAAATCTAGGATCTAAATCATTAATTCTAGAATTTACATTTTCTGACTCTAGACTACTTGGTTCACTCATATCAACAGAACTTGGCTGTGGAGCAAACTGAGTTGGTGTGAACTGTTCAGATTTGGTGGGATTGACAGATTCACACTTATTATCTGCACAAGTTATTTTTAACTGGTCTGCATGTCTACGGACAATAAGTCCATCATTTGTTTTTACTTTATAAGACACAGGTCCTGTACATTGAACAATTTGACCTGGCATCCATTTTTCCCTTCTCCCATAATTTCTCAGATACACATTCTCATTGAATCCAAATTCTCTTTCAATGGATGTTTTGTCATGATTTAATGGAACTATTTTTGAATTGGCATCTGAAAGTATTATGCTATTATTCAGATCCTTAACTGACATAGATTTCTTTAATTGATCAATTTTCTCAGGTAATCTGATAGTGCTTTTTGGTAACCAAAAATACTGTTTAAAAGTACTATCCTGGACCATATCAATTTGCAACTGTGATCCAGTATTTGAAGTGGGTGTATTAAATGGCAAAAATCTTTTTTTTCTTTTGATGGTACCCTTTTAGTTTCTGTAAGTGCTAATGATGTTAGCAAAGTTGTTTGATGATCACATTCCTTCTTACTAATGTATTCTCTTTAAAAGCATTTGAAATTGCCATATCACCATAATCATTTATTAAGTTACAAATACTTTGTTTAGGCAACTCTGACTGATAATGGACTGCATCTTCTCCATCTTTTAGACTTAATTCCATTTTTCTTATTTTATATGGCCTTAAGTCATCATTCACAGACTCTTCAGGCCAACCATTCTTACAGTACTCATATACTTTTATTAAGCACTCATCTTTTTGTGTTTCTCTTTTAACATCATTCACATTTATATTGGAGTTATCCATGATAGTGAAAAGAACAAATACATCTTCTGGTACATAACTAAGGCTTTGGTTTTTTAAAGGTAATCGACTAAGACTATCTGCACTATTCTCAGATCCAGGTTTGTATTTCAATTCATAATTGTATGCAGTTAGTGTGATAGCCCATCTTTGAATTCTTGGTGAGGCATGCTCAGGTAGGGGTTTGTTTTCTCCAAACAAGCCCAGCAATGGCTTATGATCTGTAAAGATGGTGAATTCTTTACCAAACAGAAACTTGTGAAATTTCTTAACACCAAAAATGATGCCTAAGCCTTCCCTATCTAACGGAGAATAATTTTTCTCAGCCTGGTTCAAAGATCTCCTGGCAAAAGCAATGGGTCTGTCACCCTTTTCATCTATGTGGGATAACACTGCTCCTA